AAGGAAAGGAAAGGAAAGGAAAGGAAGTGTTGTAGAATACCGCTGCAAACTCAGTTTTGTCTCGACATTGCTTCCCCCCCTGCACCTCTTTTCCCCACCCACTCTGTTTTTTGCGACTTTACTCCTTTTTTTCTGTCTCTTCTTCTCCTCCTGTCTCTGCTGTCCCTGCTGTTTCCCAGTTCACTGAAATAAAGTTTGCAAGGTTACACGGCATATGACTCCATCTCCTGGGATTGCATCGAAACCTCCCCGATATCAGATCAGGACATTTTTATTGGCATCACAGACAGGATCCCTCGAGGCGAGAGTGTCGTGGTTTCTTGCTGTGGTGTGCTCTCTTGTTGCCTCTGAAGGAGAACGAACAAAGTGTGAAGAAGGTGTGAATGGTGGTTTCTCTATTCCTTTTGTACTGCTCTTATCATTGACTTGTGTATTAGTATATGGCCCTGGGATGACATCTCATGTGTAGGAACATGGCCGCACAGCAGGCAGTGCATACCTGTGACTGCGCGTCCATGCAGGCTGAGGAAGGAGAGAGACTGTCTGAGTTTCCAGAGGCGCACCGAGCTCGCCCCTCACTCCAGGGGCAAGGCTGGGCTAGGGACCATTGGTTTCGGTTACAGAGTGTGGTAGACAGAATTAAAGTGTTGCAAAAAGAAGCCAGAGTTAAGAGGGGGAAGGGAAAAGCTATATTCTGTGTGTTTGACTGCTGCGGTGGAGGTGGAGGAAAGGAACCAGAGTTCTGGTCAGGCTGCGGCGGTGGTAGATTCTCTGCAAGTGGTGATAGAAATGCTGCGGGAACAGTTGCAAGAAAGTAAACAGCTGCTGGAGGAGGAGGAGGAGGAGAGGTGTCAAAACGTAATATTGAAGGAGGAGTTAAGGAATCAGCTCCTGAGGGAGGCAGACTCCTTAGCGGAAACAGAAGTAGCGCTCGCAGAGAAAGGGACACGATCAATCTATCCCCAGGGTGACTTGAAGGGAGTAAAAGAGACCTCAGACAGCCCCCCACACATGTACCCGTTGGTTAAAACGGAATACGTATATGAAGACGAGGGTGATAATCGTCCCCAGGTTATTACTAAAGTAATCCCTTTCGAAGCAACTGAATTGACAAGGCTGCAAAAAGATTTTACGAGAACCGCAAGAGAATCGGAGACGGAATATGTCTGGAGGGTGTCCCTGAAGTGGGCGAACGGGATCTTGTTGTCATAAAGGGAAGCGGAAGGGTACTGGGGCCCGGGTGTGTTCTTAACCACCGGAGATCACCCAGCCCCATGGTCGCTGACTCAGAGGGCTGCATACTGGGCAGGGGGGTTGAACTTGCTGGAGAGGGGGGATCCCCTGGCCATAACAGGCATGACAGATCAGTTATTGGAAAGCATTCAGAAAGCGGCTTGCGTTCAGATGATGTGTGACTGGGAACTTAAGCCTAATCTGAGCTCCCCAATGCTGCTGCCGGCAGACCCCGAAAGAAAGACCCCCCTAATATGGGGACGTCCCAATTCCCTGAAACCCATAGGGATCCAGCTGCAGGGGAGAATTCAAAACACCCCCAGCAAGGAGAGAATCGAGGCTGCCCTGGAGGGGGGTGACCCCCGACCATCAGCGGCCAGGGAGGAAAGTGTGGATATGGAGGGAGATAGCCCAAGAGCTGGTTAACTATGGGAGGAGATACGGATATGTTAACCGGCCGTATCAAAGGGCTGAAACCAGAGCCATGCGAGCTGCAGAACGAGGGAGTAAACGGTCATTTTCCTTTGGGAGGGGATGGACTCCTGACCAAGAGGCTAGAACAGCTCGTGCAGAAATGGTCAGGGTGAGAAACTGCTTTTGCCCCACCCTTGGTGAATCTGGGGGAGGGAAAGAAATACGGAAGAAGATACTGAGAAACTAAATCCTCCACCCCTCCCAAGGTGAGGGGGGAGGAGGAGGGTGGATGTTTGTAAGACAGCTCACTTGCAATAACAAAGGGGATTTATTGATTACGGTGGCGGCAGGGCCATTTATTGATTACGGTGGCGGTAGGGCCAAGGAGGAGACCAGTAACATTTTTGATTGACACCGGAGCACAAATTACTGCCCTAAGACGGGTCGAGTCGGAACGGTGTGGAATTTCAGTCCTGTTGAAACACCTGATAGTTTTAAACGCCTTGGGGAAAACCCAGACAGTGCCCATGACTCCAGGGACATTATGGCTACCAGGAGAGGAAGAACCCGTGGACACCATGGTAACTGTTGGACCTTTCCAAATGAACCTTTTAGGCACGGATATTTTAAAGGGTAACCAGTGGTGTGATACCCAGGGACTTTTCGTGGTCCTTCGGTCCCCCCCAAATTAGACAACTGGCTAAAACTCCCAGTGCGGACGAGCATTTGCTACAAGCGGCGCCTGCCCTCCCCCCTTCTAAATCAAAGAATGTGAAACCCTAACCGCTGCCATTGGGCGCCAGGGAAAGCAGAGCCAGGGCAGGCACAGCCCCTGTGCTGGCAGAGCGACAGAAACAAGGAGTGGTAGTTCCCACCCACTCGCTTACAATTCCCCGGTCTGGCCGGTTCGAAAACCTAATGGAAAGTGGCGGTTAACTGTCGATTAGTGCCGTTTGAATGCTAATACAGGACTGTTAACCGCTGCTGTGCCCAACATTGCCGAACTCATTAGCACCATTCAGGAACACACGCACTCGATTCTGGCAACTATTGATGTTAAGGATATGTTCTTTATGGTTCCAGTTCAACCTGAAGATCAGACCCGTTTTGCTTTTACCTGGGAGGGACAGCAGGACTGTTGCCTTCAAAGGCGTGGCGACTTGGTTCAGGAACGGCACGGCGACCAATCCCA